CACTTATCTGATTTTAGTTTTTAACGGATTTCATCTTTCAGTAAGGGTAACAATGCTGCCGTGACAAGCGCACAAGACGAGTCATTATATTTACCTGAAAATCTATGGGTTATTTCGTGGCAGGTTCATTGTTTTGTTTGGTTCATTTCATTTTAGATTCTATTGTTGAATCTTTATAATGTCACAACAATGCAAAAAGAAATATGTCAATATTAATACAGCCAAATTTGATGCGTTCATTTCGTTATGTTCTATTTGTTTTTTTGGGAGTTCTTGACAAAAATGTTTTGTAGATTGCGAATGCTAGCGTTTTGAAGGAATTTATCTTGAAGAACGTCAAAATAGACGATTATTGGTTTGTATGTTTATGTTAAGAAATCAGGTGCACTGTTGACAGGAATAAATAGTAATTAGAATAATGGTAGTGATAATTATATGATAAGAGTAATAATGCATTATATTCAGTGTTGGATGCGAATATCGCAATCGTTGATCAGTCCGCAACCGCGAAATGTCTCGCATCAGTTGTCTCAAAATCCCGCTGGTGTATTCACTGAAAAGTTTGTTTTATTCAGAGCTTTCATTTAGATTATTTCATTACGTTATTCAGATTATTATTTCATTACGATCATTATTTTATTATTTCATATTATTTTATTTATTATTTACGTTATTCAGATTATTTCATTATGTTTCATATCATTGTTTAGTTGCCTCTTTAGGTGAAATGTGCTATATTTAGGGCTTTAGGAGAGAGTTGAGCGGTTTTAAGGGCGATTTGTTATGAATTAGATTGAGGGGTGGTTACTTACCTGGTATTTATGAAGTACAGAGTTCTTCACATGGAGAAAATTTATTTCATTATTGCGATTTGAGAATTTTAAAATATGAGAGTTTTTGAGTGTTCTGCAAGTTGGCAATGAAATTGCAGAATCGACGCTCCACTGAAGCATTATATTCCTGGCGCTGCGCATTTGACAACAATCTTACACGTGTTCTCACCGTTGTTTGAAAGAGTCAAAAAGAAACTTCCTGTCGACGAGTTGAGATATGAACGAGTACCGACTATTTTGAAGGTATTTTCAGTGGATATCGCTGATTTTATTTGGTATTTTCCCGTTAAACTATGCAATTGCGATAATAATGATCGTTATGAAAGTTGTTATGATTGTTATCATAGTGATTTTAGTTAAAAGTTTAATGGAGTTTTGCTGGTTTTCTGAAATTATTTATTTGATGTAGAGAAATATTTTGTTGGAAATGATTCGTTTGAAGGGCATAATAGGCGTACCGATCTCAACCGAGCAAGCGCCATTCATAATGTGTACATCGGCCGAGATAACACCCACTCAAGAGAGTGTTCTTGATTGTGTTCGAATTATGTACTTGGTGAGTAGTGTGTGTTTTTTTTTGGGGGGGAGGGGGGATATCGAGTCCGTTCATTTAAATTTGTTTATGGTTTATATTTATTCGTTAAGCATTTTTGTTCATTTATGGTGATGTAAT